GGTTGTATTCTTTCACCATACTTGTTCAACCTGTATGCTGAGCAAATAATACGAGAAATGGGTGACCCTAGTGGTATTTAAAATACTGGTGGCATAGCTTTCAGAATCACAGCAACTCACAAGCCACCACAGTATGACAAACGCACAGATGAGTGGTTGTGCAGTTCATTAGTGAAGTCAATTTCATTGGGGACTGAATCGTTGTAGTTTTAAGTCTGCTCAGTGATTTTTTAAAAATAAAAGCCTGGTGATCTACTTCCAAACAATCAGACATTGAGAATTATACGGAGCACACTTCTACAATGATGCACATGGGGTCACCACAAATCTGACTCAGTACCAAGTGGTTTTGAAATATACTCGGCAGCTTGAATGGGATGTTCCTCAAGTCAGAGGGAACTCAATAAGAACCATGTCTTAATCATGGGTACATTTCAGCAATCAGGAGGGAGCTAGATTGTTAAAAATACTAGGAGAAGGCTTTGGCAAACATGCAGAATTTGGATTGTGTCGTGTGGGATGGGCAGAAAATGGAAAAATAAATATTGTTTCTTTCTCTTTTCTCTGACTGGACTTGGGAGAAGAACCGAGAGTCATTGTGGAAGTTAGAGTTCATTTGCTATGACATTATTTCAGGGATTCCTTTAAATAACTTCACCTTCTTTCCCACATTTATATACTGCCGCAAAGACTTCTCACCTTCCTATTCTGCTACAGTATTTTAAATAATTTCACACTGTATAAAAAAGCACTCCATAGAATAAAGCCATCAAATAATTTGTCCACACTTATACATATATGTTGAGAATGTGTATTTCTTGGCCTAGAAGGTTAATGCATTTGATAGAGAACCACAGTTTTTTGTTGTTGTTTTTTAAATTCTATCAAGTCTCTAGGTTATCTGAAGCAATCTTCAAGATATTTCTTCTCTTAAAAATAAAAGCATGTGACCTACACAGCTGCTGCCACAGGAAGCACCCAGTCATGGGGTAGAGGACCCTATTTTTAAATGTTAATACTTATTTGAATACTTAAAAAAAAAGATCATGCTAAAAGGTTCTATATTATATTTTTATATAATCTATATTTTAAAAACATTATATTTTCTTAGCACAATTTGATGAACTATAGACTAGCTATGTGTCTGAAGCAACTCAACAGCAGGTTTGTTTGATTTTTGTTTTGAAGAACGTGCCAATACAACTCTTTTATGTTTTTAATGTTTTACAAAGTCACACAGTCATTTGGTGTCACTGAAGAAAGTCAAAACTCATCTACTCACCAGTCACTTTCAGATGAATAAAGGCTTCTTCCTCTACTTGTTCAGCCTTAAAAAAACATCCATACACACCCTCATCAGAAGCCTTTACTGAGTGGATCCTGACAGCCACGCGCCCCATGGAAATATGGTCTCCCACCAGTGTGACTCTGCCTTTGAACTCCTGCATCTGCTCTCCATCCTGTTCCACACCATCCCGGTACACAAGAACAGCAGGAGAGAAGGTATTGCGAAACCACCGCAGCTCCATATGCTTAGTGCTTATGTTTGGGGAGAGGTAACAGGGTAGCTCAGCATCTTCACCCACCAGAGCCAGGACTGGCATTGGGGGACCAATCACCTTAAAGTGAGCTGTGCAAAAAACAATCATGATCAGAATTGACATAGACCAGACATCTGCTAAAGCACAGTCCCAAACCTCCAACCACAGCCTAAAGGAGGTAACTCCCACCAAAATAAAATGAAAAATAAAACATATGAGTTCATTCTAACTCATCATAACCCTGTATAGGTTTCAGAGGCTGTAAATGTTTACAGGAGAAAACAGCCTTATTTTTCTCTCTCCAATAGGTTTGAACTGACGACCTTGAGATTTGCAGTCCAATTCTCATTGCACATGCCTAAGGAGTCTTGGTAGCAAAATGGATTGTGACTTGGGTTGCTAATGGACAGGTCAACAGTTTGGATCTACCAGCTGCTCCAGACATTTTTAAGGAGAAAGATGAGGCTTTCTGCTTCTGTAAAGATTTGTAGCCATGGAAATCCTATACAGCTATACGTGGGAACCAACTCAACAGCACAGCACAATCAGGGAGAACCAAATGGGGTTGTTTACATTTATTGAGATGTTTCCATCGAAACTGGAGGTGAGAGAGCTGGTGACCACATAAGCCACAGAAAGGATACCTACCTGAATTCTGTTTGGGAAACTGGAGGAAAATCAAGGTGAGCAGATATCTGGCAGACATCTGTGGAGCCAGGAGTTTGGGAAAGTGCTATCACCGATCTTTATGTAGCAGCACAATTATTGGAGTGAGTTAATCAGAACCTTCAACCTAGGAGATGGATGGAAAAATTCCCCAAGTCATATACACATTTTAGACCCTGATTTATCTATTGCTCACCACCTCCCTCATTATCCATTTCCCACTTCAGTTTGCACTTGAAATGTTTCCCGTCACTCCTTACCTGTCCATTCTCTCAGTGGCCCACAAAATACAACAAAATACCCCCTAATGTAGCAGCATAGAATTTGTGGAAAAGAAGCATAAATGCACATATTTGGAGATTTCTGCATCTTTTATTTTTAATGTTTCAGTATTTGCTATTAGAGTGATTTTCAAGGTTAGTGGGTGAGAGTCGTGTCAGATATAATGACAAAGGAAATGAACCAGAGAAAGACAGATCAAAAGCTAGAAAATGGTGGAAGAAGAGGCTTAAAGAATAGAGGGCCTAGAACTAGGGAGAAAAGAGAGGAGAGGCCCTCCTGATCACTCATCATAAAGGGTGGGTTGGGATTGAAAGCTCTAGGGGAGTGGGGGGGATTGGGGGCAAGAGTCATTGCAGATACTGACCTTAGAAATCATGGAGGACAAGAAGCTGAGGAGTTGCTGCTGCCTAGGGAGAGAAGTAATTGTGGTTTTCAAAAAGGAAACTTTGACCCCAAAATGTAGTAGTATTCTCATTACATACTTGAAGCTGGTGACACACCCAACAGGCAGTAATTGATTTCTGCCTTACGTGACACATTAGAGTTTACCCTTTTATCCACAAACACATGGCATTTTATAGTCTTTAATCTTGAATTTATAGGCTGTAAAAGCTAACATTCATAAGCAATAAAAGGCCTCCAACTTTTGCCTCTTTCCACTCAGTGTGGCTGCTCTAGCTACACAGCCCATCTCAGGCAAAAGAACTAAAAGTCGCCTTAATTCAGGAGATTAAAAACTAAAAGAGTTTCCATAGGAAGCTGTTGAGTCAGCAATTTTTTCTTCTTTTAGAGTTGATTCAAGCCACAGTCAAAGTCAGGAAGGAAACATGAGATCAAGAAATCAAGGTTTGTGGTCTCTGGCATTGAGGAAAGTCAGTGAACAACGTCCATTCCTATACCAAGGCTGGAGTCCTGCTGTGGTACTGCAGGAGAATGCACTGGACTACAAGATTAGTTTGAACTGCAAGGTCCTCAGTTCAAACACACAGATGCTCCTCAGAAACCCTATACAGGATCACTATGAGTGGGAACTGACTCAATGGCACTTAACAACAACAAATACCAAGCCTGACCAATCATTCCCTAAGATAGAGAGAATGGTGCCTGGGGGGCGGCTGTTCCTTCTCTAGCCCCCCCCTGCCCCCCCCCCATACACCATCCCATTTCACTTCCAACATCCAAATCCAGGAAAAGAAATAAGGAAATCCTAAAAAATAAAAATTTCACACTACTGAGAATGAGAGTGCATTGTTGTTGTTGTTGTTAAGTGCTGCCGAGTCAGTTCTGACCCATAGCAACCCTGTATAAGGTTTCCGAGGAGCAGCTGGTGAGCTTGACCCACCAGTCTTGCAGTTCAAATGGCTTTGCAGTCTGGCACATTAACCCACAGCGCCACACGTGGGTTCTAATAAGTGCATTGGGGAACAGAAAATGAAAACGCTTGATGACTCCAGTCATTTTCTGTTTGTTTTGTACTTTGATTTTCAGATAGAGTTTACTTCTGTTTGAATAGGAGCAGTTTGCTGTGAGGCCCTGGGTGGTTTGGTTTCTGTCTCACTCTTCTGCCCATTACTTCTTTGCAATGACCACACGGCCTTTAAACTTCCTCCAACTAGTCACTTCATTCCTGATTTGGAGTCCCTGTTCCTGCTTTAATGCTCATGTGCTTCCTGTTCCTGCTGGTCAGCACCTCTTCCCCTGGTTCTCCCAGATTGGGTACTTTTTCAGTCCATATGTCTCAGTAAATTTGTGCTCTGATCAGGAGGCACTCCCTAACCTTGCCATTTTAAGCAGCCTCCAACTTACTCTCTTCTCTATAATATTTTCCTTGATGGCACCACATACAATCTAGAATTATGTCTAATCTTTGTTTAGTCCTAATTAAAAATAAACTTCAGGAAGGTGAGAGTCTATCTGGGGTACCGAGATTTATATACACTGGTTGGTGACGTATTTCTGGTGTTAAATTTGTTGAGAGAGTGAATGAAGATGTAAATAAAAGATTGACATGGGAATGATAACACCACTGTGGAAAATGGTATGATGCATCCTCAAAAAGCTAGAAATAGAAGTACCATATGAATCAACAATCCCTTTACTTGGTATATATCCTAGAGAAATATCAGTCATAACATGAATAGATATATGCACATTGATGCTCACTGCAGCACTATTCACAATAGCAAACTTCTGGAATCTACCTAAATGCCTAACAACAGAAAAATGGATAAACAAACCTTGATACATCCACACAATGGAGCATTACACAATGCTAAAGAATAATGATGAATCTACAAAACATGAATGGACCTGGAGGATACTATGCTGTGTGAGAAGAGCCAATCACTGAAGGACATCTATTGTATGGGACCACTATTGTAAAAAGTCAAGAAAAAGCGTTTACACTAAAAGAAACATTATTTGATGGTTACCTGTGGTGGGAGAGAAGCATGATTAATACACTAGCTGGAGGGTAGACATGAGTGAATTTTGGTGAAGGAGAAGGCAATATATCATAACAGGGAGGTTGAAAGATGAATGATAAAGGCCTGGCAAGACACAGGGAGGAGTACAAGACTTAATGGCAACAAAGAAAAATGTTGTTATATACACAATCCTGTAGTAACAGTGATCTATGGATTGATACATTGATAGGCAGCCAGTCTGAAAGGGTGTGGGAAGAAGAGTGGGAGGTACCCACAGATATGTAAAGGGTTGACAGAGGGTATCTGTACATGGATATTTACCTTTGTTACAAACCTATCCATGAAAATGGTTGAACAAAAAAGAGGTAAAATTATGGAAATTTCTTAGACATTACCAAACACCTTGAGGGAATGAATTTCTTGGCCTGGGGGCTCAGGACCATAGTCTTGGGGGACAACATAGTCAGGTGGCATAGCATAGTCCACAAAGATAATATTCTATGTCCTACTTTGGTGAGTTGTGACTAAGATCTTAAAAGCTCATGACTAGCCATCTAAGGTGTAACTACTGGTCTCTCTCTGTTCAGAGGAAAGAAGAGTGATGAAAACTGAAGACCCTTAGAAACAATAGGTCCAATAGACTAATGAACCAAGTGATCATTGATCTCCATGACAATGAAACTAGAAGAACTAGATGGTGCTTGGCTACCACTTCCAACTGCTCTGAAAGTGATCACATTACAAGGTTCTGGATATAGTAGGAGAAAATGTGGAACATAAGGAAGATCAGGCTTATTGGTCAGATAGACTTGGGTGGAACACCATAGATTATGATCCTTGATCACCCTTTAGGTCTACAACTGAACTCATTCCTGTGGCTCAATTTTCAGTGAAGAAATAGGTATACATGATCACTAGCCATCAAAGAGATGCAAATCAAAACAACAATGAGATATCATCTCACAAGAGCAATAACAGCAAAGATAAAAAAGTGGAGGACAATAAATATTGGTGAGGATGTGGAGAGACTGGGACACTCCTGCATTGCTGGTGGGATTACAAAATGGTCCAATCTTTCTGGAAAGCAATATGGTGCTTCCTCAGAAGGTTGGAAATAGAAATACCTTAATGATCTAGCAATTCCTCTACTTGGTATTTATCCACAAGAAATAAGAGCCATAACAAGAGTAGATATATGCACACCAATGTTCATAGCAGCACTATTTACAATAGCAAAAAGATGGAGACAGCCAAAGTGCCCATCAACGAAAGAATGGATAAACAAACTATGGTACATACTCACAATGGAATATTATGCTATCTTGAAGAACAACAAGGAAACTGTAAGCTATCACATAACATGAATGAACCTTGAGGACATTATATTGAGTCAAATTATTGTTGTTGTTGTTGTTAAATGCGGTTAAGTTGATTCCAACCCATAGTGACCCTGTATAGGGTTTCCGAGGAGCAGCTGGTGATCTTGAACCATCGACCTTGCAGTTCACATGGCTTTCAGTCTGGAGTGAAATTAGTCATTCACAAAAGGAGAAATACTGCATAGGACCACTACTGTAAAAGACTAAGAAAAAGAACCCAAACTAAAAGTGGGAGGGATTCTTTGCTAGTTACTGGGACATGATGGATGGGGTGAGGGGAGGGAAGAGAAGATGGAGCACAGGTTAGGGAACAGACACAGGACAGTTTGGATGCTA